AGGTGCAGTTGGAGGAATTTCCTTCAAAATTGACAAGGAGCCTGGCCAGGCAAGACTGCAGCCGAAGGAAGTGGGAATAAGTGCCTGCACGGCAGACTCCTCTGCAGCCCCAGCCTCTCCCGATCCCTGAGCAGGGTGGCAGGGAAGGAGGCGCCCTCCCCTTTGTGCCTGTATGCTAGACACTCCTCTGCCATCTCAGGGGGGCCTCGGGGGGTTCAGTGTGGTCCTGAGGGAGGGGGACCCATTAGGTTTGGAAAGAAGAGCAGCAATACACGATGATTTCCATAATTATACGGCCTCATGGCAGGAGCAGCTCTGCGTCTTCCTGAAAACCTTCCTCACTCCCATGTGCAAGAGAGGCATGCTCTGAGAATGTGCCGATGTGGCCCATGTGAAGCAAGCAGGACTGAGGGATCTTTCCCTCGTGTGCTTTGCAACTGGCCTTCAACACGTGACCTGCTGCATCCCCCGTTTGCTATCCCCCCTCGCAAGTATTGCCTCTGCAGTGAGGCAGCTTCGCTCTGCAAAGCCAATTCCTTGCATTGTCCCTTCCAATTCCTGGTGTGCTCAGCTTGCTCCCTGGAAGTCCCGCTCATACCACCTGAACCTTCGAGTGCGGCACCGTCATCATGGTGCTGATGGATATTCCCTCGGTGCCCGGTTTCTGCTCCTGGGAAGGGACTGGCTGAGATTTTGTCAGAACACTGCTCCTGCAGGGATGGCCATGAAGTGAAGTGAAAGGGAAACACCCAGATGAAGGAACTGTTCCACCCGTCCCATCCCAGCTGCCTCTGAGGGACTCTGCGGGAGGGTCTTCCCATCTCTCCTCTTCCCTCCCCTCATATTTCCCTTGGGAAGAGCTTCTTCTTCCTTCCAGCTGTGCCCACTGCCCATTCCTGGCATCTGGTTCCCCTTCCTGTGTGTGTGCTGGGACACCATGTTTCCTGCTCGTCTATCCAGGAGGGGAAGCCAGGTTGTGGATGTAGTTGTTGTTGTTAGTTGCAAAGTGACATCCAACCCATCACGACCCCGTGGAAAAAATTCCTCCGTGCCTTCCTGTCGTCCACAATCCCTCAGGGTCTACCTTAGCTCATGCCCAGACTCCATACAGCCACCTCACCCTCTCCTGTCCACTTCTTTTGCCCTCAAGGTTGAGGATAGGCATGTCTGAAAGCAGAACTGGAATCGTTCTGTTGGGCAAGACGCAGTAGGGGAGACTGTTGTGCATTCCTGCACAGGACCAAATGTGCAAGAAGTGGGATGGGGACTCAGAGATCAAGGTCCAAATCCCCGCTCATCCCTGAAGCTCATTTCAAGACTTCTGGCCGGTAATTCACTCTCGGCCTATCCTACTTTGCAGGGTTGTTGTTGTTGTTCAGGAAGAGAACACTGAGGAGAAGCGAGCAAAGTGCTTGCTTTCGTCATGCATGGAAAAGGTCACAGCAAAGGTCAGAATCTGGTGCTAGCAATTATCATGACAACGATGGAAAGAATGTCCAAAGAAGACTCCAGTGGAAAATTCAGTGGAAAACACCTCCAAGAGCAGACATTGCATGGTGGGCATCCAGACTGCCCGAAAAATGCGTGCCCATGGTCACGTTGTCAGCCTTCGTTCCACATCAGGGCAGCTGTGCAGGAGTTGAGGGCTCTGGTCCGGGCAGGCCCTTGAGGTGAAGAAATGGAGCCCCGACCCTGGGGGACATCGTAACGTTGCGGGAAAGAAGCCCGCATCCTGGATGCTGCAGCAGGTCCTCTGGAGTGCCTCCTGTTGCACGGACAGGGCCAGCCAGGCAGCCCCAGGAGCTCCCCGTGGGGTGAAGCGGGGGCAGTAGAGTGTTCAGCCTGGGGCTCTCCCTGGCCCTCCTGCTCCCCACGAGCTCCTGAGATGTTTCCCCTAGGTATGCATTATGGAATCAGGAAGGTCTCCAGATCAGGCTGCCCCTCTGCTCGGCCCTCTCTTGGGACCCTTTTCGGAGCTGCCCGGCCACGGTGGGGGTTTTACAGAGAGAAGAATCAGGGAGAGAAAAGGCAGAGGGTGGGAATGACATGCAGCCTGCACCTGAGGGGAAGAGGAAGATAATTGGGAGGGGGAGCTTTGCTTGGGCAGATGTGCTCCAAACGACAATTCCTGCAATTAGTGGTTTTTAGGAATCTGGGTTTCACAGCCTGTGAGAAGACAAGCTAGATATGCATGGGGCCTCCCTGTTGCAAACCTGAGGAGTTTCTTGGAGAGATCTCCCAAGATAAACCGTGCTGCATGGTTGAACTATCATGACCAGCACTGCAGGGAACAGGTACTCCCAACCACAGACCTCCAGAACATAAACAGAGTGTTTCATGGTTTTCAGTCACGTGCATAACCATAGATTGATGATGAGGGTGGAAAAGACACACGTTGACAGAGTTTTATATGAGCCAAACCAGGCAGAGAACTTTGGAGTCAGCAGAAGAGTGGACACCAAGCAACTTTCCTGGGAGCCTCTTTCCACACGGGATTAACTTTGCAACTAAATGTAGTGGCTTTTTCCGGCAAGCAGGCAGCTCAGTCTCTTAAAGGGCCGGATGCCGAATACAAAGCTCGAGGAGGTGCTTTGCCCGTTGGCCTTTCTGTCTGCCCACATCAGTGGGCTGTGAAATGGGATCTTCCAACAGGATACATTTGGCTACTGTGAGGGTCTCCTTCCCTCTCTCCCTCCCCCTCTTATGGCACCATCCATCAAACTTGAATTTTGCTTTTTTTCCACCTGCCCTATCTCTTGACGTGCATGGATATGCATGGGATGAAAGCCTGGCCAAAATCAGACCATCACGATTTTGTTAATTTAGTTTGTTTCGTTGGTTGGTCTGTTGCGGTTGGTGTCAAACACACCCTGCTGCTTCCATGACTCCCTTGGTGAATGTTGGGAATTTTGTGAATACAATGGAGCAATCCTTTCCAGTGCTGAAGTAAGAAATTCCTGGAACTGCCCAATAAGAATATTTGCTGCCTTTTTAAAAGCAATGATGCTTCTTTGTGGACTAAGCATCCATCCTCTAGGAAGCATAACTCAAAATTAATGGAGTACTTTGGCTGACCATTCATGGATCACTGTTTATATGTGGTGAAGGGGCTTGAATCGCACCTGAAGCTATGAGCTATGCTGTGCAGGGTCACCCAAGATGGACAGGTCCTAGCAAAGAGCTCTGACAAAACGTGATCCACTAGAGAAGGATAAGGCTCCCCACTCCAGAACCCTTGTCACGACTACACCATGGAAAGTACCAAAAGGAAAAAAAGATATGACGCCGGAAGATGAGCCCCTCAGTTCGGAAGGTGTCCAATTTGCTGCTGGAGAAGAGCAGAGGGCTAGTACTAGTAGAAACATAGAAATATAGAAACAGGGCGTGTCAGAAGGGGCCTCCTGGGCCATCTAGTCTGACCTCCGGCACCAGCCGGCTCCGCTCACAACATGCCCACCATGTGGACGTCCAGCCTATCCTTAATACCCGCAATGATTGGGTCTCAACCAACTCCCAGGGAGGCCCATTCCACACCCTTGATATCCTGACTGTCAGGAAGTGCTTCCTGGCATCCAAATGGAACCTTGGCTCCTTGAACGTTGCTCCGTTTGAGCACATCCTGCCTTCCTCTGCAGGGGAGAACAGGCCTCCACCCATCTCCATGTGACTGTTGTAACCCCCCTCATGATCAAGCATGAGCATGCACGTAGCCAGGGCATGGCTCATCACGAGCTAGAGGCATGGTCAGAGTTCTTGTGCTCATGAGAACAAGAACATGAACACGGATGTGCACGCTATGCTAAGCTGACAACAAAGCAGGCTTCGCTCCAGCATTACCAGCATCACCGCAGACATTATGCCCTTGTACCCACGCTTGCTTGCTTTTGCATGATAAATGTGCAAAATGTGCTCTCCCCTATTGTTTCTCTGTTGTTCCCCCATTGTTTCTCCGTTGTTCCCCTGTTGTTTGCTGTCATTCAAGCATAAGTGTAAAAGAGTATAAAAATCAAATGTCTCTCCTCTGCCTGCTACCACACTCCCATGAGTGATGGTCCCTGCCTCAGGTAAAAATAAATCTTTCTCGATAATTCCAGCCAGTCTCTGGTCTCGTCCGTAAAATCGCGCCATACAACATTTGGAGGCCCCAGCGAGATCCCCAAGACTGTTGGTCCTGCGCCCCCCCCCCCGATACCAGGGACGGGCCCACAGGCATCTTTTGCCTCTGCCCCGGCTCGGTGGGACGTCTGACTAGCCGAGAGAGGAATTACCAGTAAGTGCGCACGGCGGATACCCGCCATTTCTTAATATCTGCAGATCTGGTATTGGAAAGGAAAGCCTGCTGGACGCAGCAAGGGCTACTTTCCGGTCTGAAGCGAGACGTCGCTTCCGGCCTCAGTTCCTGTACGTCTGTTTAGATTGTCCGTCGTTTTCTTTTATTGTCTTGAGTAACCCTTTTTTTACAGGACAGGAAAATGGGGCAAGGACAGTCCATCACGACCACCCCTTTGCAATGTCTTCTGAATAACTTTTCTGATTTCTTTGAGAGGGCTTCAGGATTCGGGGTCTCGGTTAAGCCAGGGACCCTCCGGACCCTTTGAGAATTTGAGTGGACCTCATTTGGCGTGGGTTGGCCCTGAGAGGGCTCTTTTGATTTAATCCTGATTAGGAATGTGGAGGCTGTGATCCTTGGGAATCCTGGACACCCAGATCAAATTCCATATATAGAAACGTGGCTGGACATCGCCAGAACAAAACCTAGTTACCTTAAACGGTGTCAACGGAAACTCCCAGGATCATGGTGTCTGTCTCTCCTTATAATTAAAAAGGGTGGAGAACCCCACGACAGATCACCCCTCGCCCCATCCACGAAGCCCCACATCCTCACGGATGATCAAACGGGGCCGGAAGACGCTCTGGACACATGGACTCGGCCACCTCCTTATGCCCCGAATTCCCCGGCTTCCGGGAGCCCGCCCCACACCTTCCCTAGTCCATCCCGAATGCGGAGCGGACTTCCGTATGGGCCCCGTCCACCTGTTCCCCCGAAGTCCTCTAGCCCCGGGAACAACGGCGAAAAACGGGTGTCGCCGTCCTTCCCTGATCCCGGCTCTGGGCCCTCCACTCTGTTGCCCCTCCGGGAACTAGCCCCCACACAGGGGGTGGACTGTCCGTTTATGGTTTATGTCCCTTTTTCCACAAGTGACCTGTATAATTGGAAGTTACAGAATCCTCCCTTCTCTGAAAAACTGCAAGGTTTGATCTCATTGTTAGAAACAATTTTTCATAGCCATCGTCTGACTTGGGATGACTGCCAGCAGCTCCTGCAGGTTCTCTTTACTTCCGAGGAGCGCGATCGGATTCACCTCGAGGCTCAGAAGCAGATTCTGGGCGCAGGCGGTCAACTCACCACTGACCCGCTAATTCTGGAATCGAGCCTCCCAACCCAACGGCCCAACTGGGATCCAAATACAGTCGGTGGGGAAGGAGTGCTGAGCAGGTACCGCCAATATATTCTGCAGGGTATCCGCGGAGCAGCGCAGAAACCTACGAATTTGTCTAAAGTAAGCGAAGTAGTTCAGGGCTCCCGGGAATCCCCCGCTGCTTTCTTGGAACGCCTACTTGAGGCTTATAGGCAATACACACCCATAGACCCTCGAGCGCCCGAGAACGCAAGGGCAATTAACATAGCCTTTGTCACACAATCGGCCCCAGATATTAGAAAAAAGATCCAGAAGCTAGACGGGTTTGAGGGAAAGAATCTCAGCGAACTAGTCGAGATAGCCCAGAAGGTTTTTAATAATCAGGAGGACCCAGAAGTTGCAGGCACGAAGAAACTAACCAAAGTCGTCTCAGCGACCATGCAGGAAACTAGTGACAAGAACCGAGGAACTCCACGAAGGAATGGGGGTCGCCCTCGCATAGAAAAGGACCAATGCGCCTATTGCAAGGAGGCAGGCCACTGGAAAAACGAGTGCCCCCGTAAAAAGAGAGTGAATCCACAGAGAAACAGCCTCCTCACTCTTGAGGAGGACTGAAGGGTCCAGGGCTCTGTCAATTTGGGCCCCCAAGAGCCCTTGGTAACCTTAACTGTGGGGGGCCGCCCGACCACCTTCCTGGTAGATACCGGGGCAGCCCACTCGGTTCTCCAGGAGAGGGTCAACCACCTTACTGAAGAAAAGACTCAGATCGTAGGGGCAACGGGGCGACCCAGGGCTTACCCCTGGACTTCAGCTCGTGTGACTGATTTAGGAAAAGGAACTATAACCCATTCCTTCTTGGTAATCCCTGAATGTCCCTTCCCCCTCCTGGGATGAGATCTCTTAAGAAAATTACGAGCCTCGGTGTCATTCCAAGAGGATGGCACCCACCTCAGCCTGGGCTCTCCACAGCCTGCTGCCCTTCTGCTTACGGTGCCCTTGCAAGACGAGTATCTCTTCTTCGAAAGTCAGGTGCTGGAAAGCCCCTCGGCGATTTTAAAGGAGCTCCAAAAAGAGATTCCGGGAGTATGGGCTGAAAATAACCCCCCGGGACTGGCAACTCATCAGATGCCCATCGTAGTACAGGTGAGCCGTTCGGCCACCCCGTTTCGGAAGCCCCAATACCCCATCCCAGCCAGGGCGAAATCAGGAATACGTAAGCATATACAGAGACTGTTGGAAGCAGGAATTCTAGTGCCCTGCAGGTCGCCATGGAACACCCCGCTGTTGCCCGTTAAAAAGCCCGGTACTGAAGACTACCGGCCAGTTCAGGACTTACGGGAGGTAAACGCCCGAGTAGAGACTGTCCACCCGACTGTGCCAAACACTTATACCCTACTCAGCCAGCTGCCACCAGACCGGGAGTGGTACTCGGTCTTAGACTTAAAAGATGCTTTCTTTTGTATACCGCTGGCACCGGTGAGCCAGCCCCTTTTCGCTTTTGAATGGACAGATCCGGACCAAGGGTTCTCAGGCCAACTTACGTGGACCCGGCTGCCGCAGGGGTTCAAGAACTCCCCTACCCTTTTTGATGAGGCGCTGAGTAAAGACCTCTTCCCTTTCCGGGAAACCCACCCCGAGGTAACCCTTTTGCAATACGTGGATGATTTGCTCTTGGCGGCGGAATCCGCGCCTGCTTGTCTGCAGGCGACTCGAGACCTCTTGGCCGCTCTAGGCTCCATGGGGTATCGAGTTTCGATAAAGAAGGCACAAATATGTAGTCAGAAGGTGACCTATTTGGGATACAATCTAAGCGGGGGGAAATGGACACTGTCAGCCAGCCGAGTCCGAGTAATCCAGAATATTCCCATGCCTACGACCAAACGACAAGTCAGGGAATTCTTGGGCAAGGTGGGGTACTGCCGGCTGTGGATCCTCGGCTTTGCCGAGATAGCAAAACCCCTCTATACCAGCACGGGAGGAAAAGGTGACTCCCTCATGTTGACTGAGATTGAGCAATCAGCATTTCAGGCTCTTAAAACGGCTATTACCACAGCCCCTGCTCTAGCCCTACCCGACCTTAAGAAACCCTTCCAGCTCTTCGTGGTCGAGGCTCGAGGTATAGTGAAGGGGGTTTTAACCCAGACTTTGGGACCATGGAGACGGCTGGTTGCATATTTATCAAAACGACTAGACCCAGTAGTGGTGGGGTGGCCCACTTGCATGAGGGCCATCGCCGCGACAGCAGTCCTGGTGAAAGAGGCTAAGAAACTGACCCTGGGCCAGGACCTCCAAGTTATTGGGGCACACGCCGTGGAAACCCTCCTCAGCAGCCCTCCGGATCGGTGGATCTCCAACGCCCGAGTGACTCAGTACCAGGTACTTTTATTAGATCCCCTGTGGGTCACCTTTTCAAAGGCAGCGATCCTTAATCCAGTGACCCTACTGCAAGATGATCAACCCGAAAGTCCCACACATGATTGTGCTGAGATCCTAGACTCCCTGTCTAGCACCAGACCAGACCTGACGGACATTCCGCTGGGACAGCCAGCCCTCGATTTGTTTACAGACGGGAGCAGTTTCATCAAGGACGGGATTCAGTATGCGGGTGCAGCGGTAGTCACCAGTTCTGAGGTAGTATGGGCACAGGCTCTAGGGCATGGCACGTCAGCACAAAAGGCAGAGCTCATCGCCCTGACACAGGCTCTCCGGTGGGGGAAGGGAAAAGCTCTCAACATTTATACGGACAGCCGATACGCTTTCGCCACGGCTCATGTCCATGGAGCATTGTATAAGGAACGAGGGCTGCTAACCTCTGGAGGGAAGGACATTAAGAATGCAAACGAGATTATGTCCCTCCTGGAAGCCATTTGGCTACCTGAACAAATAGCTAGAATTCATTGCCCTGGGCATCAACGGGATGGCTCGGCGGTCTCACGGGGAAATAACTTCGGGGATAAAACCGCAAAAGAGGCCGCCATGAGACCAGTAGGGGCTCTCGAAATTCTCTCAGTCCAGATGCCGGCACGGGCCCTCCTGGAATGACCAAACTACTTGAAGGAAGATATCGAACTGGGCAGGAAGCTGCAGTGCTCGGAGACTGAGGCGGGATGGCTGAAACATCCCGATGGAAGGATCTTCCTTCCCCAAGCATTGGGGCGGGATCTTCTCCAGACCCATCGAGCCACACACTTGGGAACAGCCCGACTCTGCCAGCTATTCAGACCCCATTTTTACCTGCCCGGACTATCGACTCTGGCCGATTCCATAACCTCCGGGTGCGCCTCCTGTGCGAAAGTTAATGCTGGTCCTAACCGCTCCTCTACCACCCCTGGCATTCGCCTCCGCGGGTCCCAGCTGGGAGAACACTGGGAAATAGACTTTACTGAGGTAAAACCTACCCGAGGTAGGTATCGCTATTTACTGATCTTCATCGACACCCATTCCGGGTGGGTTGAAGCGTTCCCTACGAAGGGAGAGACAGCCTCGATCGTTGCCCGGACCCTCCTGCATCAAATTTTACCTAGATTTGGGGTACCCCTAGCTTTGGGTTCAGATAATGGTCCGGCATTCATTGCCAAAACTTCCAAATTGGTAGCAAAAGTGCTAGGAATTGATTGGAAACTGCACTGTGTGTATAGACCACAGAGCTCAGGACAGGTAGAGAGGATGAATAGAACATTAAAAGAAACTTTAACAAAATATACTCTTGAAGTTGGCGGTCCCTGGACAGACCTCCTTCCGTTTGCCCTCCTACGCACGTGATGTTCTCCGTTTAAGAACGGTTTCACACCTTTTGAAATTATATTTGGGCAGCCGCCTCCTCTGCTACCCCGCCTGATGGAGGAAACGCGCGCCAAGTTGTCTAACCACAACTTGTTTGAGTCCCTGCAGGCCCTCGATCGTGTCCGACATGATATCCGCCGCCAGGTTCAGTCTAACATGGGCGGGACTAGCGAGGCGCCGAAGCCCGCGGCCGATCCTCCCCCACGCGTAAATCCGGGAGATTGGGTCTGGCTAAAGAACTTTCACCCTGTTACACTAGGTGTCCGGTGGCTAGGACCCTCCCAGGTGATCCTCTCCACTCCCATGGTGGTACGACTGGCCGAAAAACCCCACTGGATCCACGTGACACAGATAAAGCCTGCTTCGCCAGTCCTCTCGGAAAAATGGACGACGCACCAAACCGGAAACCCTCTGCGGGTCAAGTTGAGAAGGGTCTCTTCCGGGCAGCCTTCCTGATTCTTCTCGCCCGCCCAATAGGCTGCCCTCGCCCAAACCCACACCAGCCACTCACCATGGAATGGACACTGCGGACTGATTGGCAGGCTTCCCCGCCAGTAGTAACCATCCTGACTCACATCTACGACGCCTCCCCAGAATTCCACATAGAACTCTGCCAACTCTTTCCGCCCGGGTGGACCAACCCGGGCCTCCTTTCGGCGAACGTAAGGGGGGGGTACGCCTGCTTTTGGGTCATGGGTATAGACCTGATGCCTTAGCAGAGAAACTAGTGCAGGAGCAATATTATGGCTGCCCATCAGATGGGAGCCCCGCGTGCGGTGGCGCGCCCAAATTCTACTGCGCCTGATGGGGCTGTGAAACTTTTGCTACCTGGTTGGAAGGCAAAAATAAGGATTCTTGGCTCACAGTAAGAAGGATGCATGCCAGTCAAGCGAGGAGCGGAAAACGTAACCCCATGAGCATTAGGGTAAAACGGGGCAGGGAGGATTCTTGGATAAAAGGCAAAACCTGGGGACTGCGCTTAAATCTGTACGGTCCCGATCCAGGCATACTTTTCACAGTGCAGAAACGGGTTATCGCAAGACCCTGGGGCCCGGTGGGACCTAACCGGGCCCTTCCCCGCCCTCAGATCCCTGCTCAGTGCATCCCTGATGCTCACACACAGCGTGCTCCGGAACAAGCTGCTGGCCGACCTTCATCCAGCCGCTCATTTACACTAGTATCCGCAGTTTTTGAAGTCCTTAACAGGACCAATCCAAATATTACCGAAACCTGTTGGTTATGCCTGAGTCCTCAGCTGCCTTTTTACACGGGAGTAGGAGTGAATGTGTCCTTTTCCGCCCTTGCTAAGATCTCCTATTCGGAAAACTACAGGAGCGCCTGCCCGTGGGGGCTCCACCCCTCTATAACGTTAGAGGAATTCTCAGGTCAAGGGACCTGCGTTACGGGTCCCAATGGGCCCCGTAAGAATCCACGATGTGCGGCTACCTTACTCCTTACCCCCACAGCACGCCCCTACCTCCTAGCAGCCCCGAATGGGACTCTTTTCACCTGCCGATCAGGCCTTACCCCATGCATTTCCTCCACCCTTCTCCTAAAACCCAACGGTTCTGCAGCTACACCGGCTCCTCAGTCGGATCTTTGTATTCTTACTCTTGAGCTCCCGAAGGTTTTTCTTACCTACGGAGATATGACCCCCGGGGCTGCTCCCACGAATTCGCGCATCCGGCGCGCTATGCCCCTCCTCGCTCCTCTTTTAACCTGACTGGGCATCGCAGGCTCAGCAGCAGTCGGGGCTGGCGCCTGGATGAAAGGCAGCCAAGATATATTCCATCTCTCTGAACAAGTTGATAAAGACTTGCAGGAGCTTCACGGCTCCATTAAATTCTTGGAACGATCCCTTGACTCTCTCGCGGAGGTAGCCCTCCAAAACAGGAGAGGACTAGATTTACTTTTGCAGAAACAAGGTGGCCTATGTGCTGCCTTGGACGAAAAATGTTGCTTTTATGTAAATCATTCAGGTGTCATCCGTAACAGTCTAGACCTGGTAAAAGCCCGCCTAAAGGACTGAGAAAGGCACCTCCAGGAAGGTTCCAACTGGTATCAGCGCCTTTTCAACTAGTCCCCCTGGCTGACCAGTCTACTCTCGTCCCTTGTTGGACCCATTTTAGGGTTACTGTTTTTCCTTATCTTCGGGCCCCTGGTGCTCAGTTGGATCATCCACCTTGTCCAGCAGCGTATGAACACCACGAAAGTATTGGCATTTCATGTCAGATCTCATCTGAGGCAGGATAATGTTTATAAACTCCGCCCACTAACGGTCCGCGGACTTGATGATTCGACTCCCCAAAAGACCAGTAGAGAATGTTGTAACCCCCCTCATGATCAAGCATGATCATGCACGTAGCCAGGGCATGGCTCATCACGAGCTAGAGGCATGGTCAGAGTGTTCTTGTTCTCATGAGAACAAGAACACGAACACGGATGTGCACGCTATGCTAAGCTGACAACAAAGCAGGCTTCGCTCCAGCATTACCAGCATCACCGCAGACATTATGCCCTTGTACCCACGCTTGCTTGCTTTTGCATGATAAATGTGCAAAATGTGCTCTCCCCTATTGTTTCTCTGTTGTTCCCCCATTGTTTCTCTGTTGTTCCCCTGCTGTTCGCTGTCATTCAAGCATAAGTGTAAAAGAGTATAAAAATCAAATGTCTCTCCTCTGCCTGCTACCACACTCCCATGAGTGATGGTCCCTGCCGCAGGTAAAAATAAATCTCTCTCGATAATTCCAGCCAATCTCTGGTCTCGTCCGTAAAATTGCGCCATACAACATACAACATCCCCTCACATGCCTATATGTTGCCAACATATTCCCTCTGAGTCTCCTTTCTCTAGGCTGCCTCATACGGCATCCCCTGCAAACCGGCAACCAACCTTTTGGCCCTACGCTGCACTGACTCCAACCTGGCTATATCCTTTCTGTAATGAGGGGCCCAGAACTGAGCACAGTACTCCAGTTGCGGGTGCACCAGAGTCTTGTAGAGTGGTAGTAATACCTCTCTTGATCTAGAAGCCACACTTCTGGCTATGCAACCAAGGGTGCCGTTCGCCCTCTTGACCACCGCATCACATGGCTGACTCATGTTCAGCCTGCATTCAACCAGCGCCCCGAGGTCCCTTTCACAAGTGCTGCTCTCCAGCAACTTGTCCCCTAACCTGTACTTATGACACCCATTCCTATGCCCCAAGTGCAAGACCTTGCACTTATCCACATTGAATTCCATCCTGTTGTCTCCTGCCCACTTCCACAGTCTGTCCAGATCCTTTTGGAGTTGGAGTACCTGGTCCTTAGCTGTGGCCACTGCTCCAGTTTAATGTCATCTGCGAATTTGATCAGCAGACTGTTCACCCCTTCTTCCATGTCATTGATGAAAAGATTACACAGGATCGGCCCCAGGACAGATCCCTGGGGGACCCCGCTTGTCATTGGCCGCCATCCCGATGATTCCCCGTTAATGCATACCTTCGGCTTTCGGTCAGTCAACCGCGCCCTAATCCACCGGATGGTGCTTTGCTGTATCCCAAAACTGCTTCGATTCTGCACTAGGATATCAAGGGGCACTTTGTCAAAGGCCTTGCTGATATCCAGGTATAACTCATCCACTGCATCCCCTCCATCTAGCCAGCTCGAAACCTTGGCATAGAATTCCACAAGGTTTGTCTGGCAGGACCTGTTTTTGCGGATGCGGTGTTGTGTGGCTGCCAGGCTCCCTTTCCTATCTAGCATCACTAGATCTCTCCCTATTATGAGCCTTTCCATTGTTTTTACTGCAGTGGACGTAAGGATAACCAGTCTATAATTCCCCACGTCCTTTCTTCTACCCTCTTTGAAAATTGGCACCACGGATGCCACCCTCCAGTCCTCTGGAACTTCACCAGTTCTCCAAGAGGTCTCAAAAATGGAGGCCAGCGGGCGTGAGAGAACCCCTGCCCACTCTCTAAATACTCTCGGGTGTAACCCATCAGGGCCTGGCGCCTGTGTAATATCCAATGCCCTGAGGAGCCCCTCGACTTCAAGTGGGGTGACTCTAATCTGTGACCCTAAGTCCCCAGCCTCATCTAATCTCCTATGCAGATATCCCCCATCCTCCTTTGGGGAGAACACAGAGGCAAAATAGTCATTTAGCATCTGTGCCTGTTCCCTCAAATCAGTCACTGGGTCTCCTTCCTCCTTATTTAGTGATCCCACCCCTTGCCTCCCCTTCCTCTTCCTATTTACATGCTGAAAGAAGCCCTTTTGTTGCTCTTGATATTCTTGGCTACTCTCAGCTCGTAATCAGCGTTAGCCTTGTGAAGAATCCTTCTGCAACAGGCCTCCTCCTCCCGGTATACAATTTTGTCTATTTCCCCCAGTACCCATTTCCTATGTAGGCTCCTCTTTTGCCTAATCCCTCTAACCACATCCTTTCACATCCATGGCGGCACTCTTCTCCACCTCCCCATTTTACTGACTAGAGGTATCGTCAAGGCTTGTGCCTCCAAAACCTCTCTTTTGAGTGCCATCCACCCCCCCTCAACTCGCTTACCTTCCAGTAACCCATCCCAGGAGACTTCCCCCAGTCTGGCCTTCAGTTGGCCATAGTTGGCCATCTTGAAGTCCCAGCTTCTAGTGCTCGACCTGCTGCCCGTCCGCAGTCCCCTGATCTCAAAGCAAAGGATGGAGTGATAACTCGCATCCAGAGCTCCCCTAATCTGTACTTCACCTATCAGCTCCTCCCTGTTGGTCAAGACCAAGTCAAGGATGTTTCCACCCCTCGTTGCCTCTCAGACCCTGCGTGTGAAAAACCCTCCCTCTATAGCTTCTGGGAAGTGACGTGACCTGGCTGTCACCGCCAAGTGAGTCTCCCAACTAATATCCGGGAGATTGAAATCTCCCAGAATTACTGTGTGTGTCCCCCGAGAAATCCTCAGAATCTGGCCTGTCAGGACATCACCCAGGGTCTCAAGCTGACCTGGAGGGCGATAACATACCCCCACTGCCAGGTCTGTTTCCCTGTCAAAACCCCTAAGCTTCCCCCAGACTGCCTCTGTCGAGTTCGCACCTGTGCTGCATCCTGTCTCACTGCATCCCATCCCTTCCCTGATGTATAAAGCCACCCCCCACGCCTCTTTCCCTTCCTGTCCTTTCTAAAAAGGTTCACATTCTATGTTTCCTTCTATGTTCACATTCCAGACTTGCCTTTCATCCCACCAGGTTTCTGTGATTCCCACCCGGTCAGGCCCTGCTCTTCCCAGGAGTGCTTCAAGCCCTTCCTGCTTGTTACCCATGCTCCTAGCATTGGTGTGCATGCACCTCAACTCCTTCCCACCGCTTCCTTTCCTCGGAGTTCCCAGCCTCCTCCTTCCTCCCATCTTCCCTGATACCTGGCCCCTCCGTGTAGGAGTCCTGTCAGTCCCTGCACGACCTCTAAAACCCTGCTCCAAGAGCCCTGATCCTCTCCCCACACTTGTCCCATGCAGACACGTATCTGGATGTCTGAACCCCCCGCCCCCCCGGCTCACTTTAAAGTCTTCCAGATGAAGCTCGCTAGAGCATCTCAAAAGGACCTTTTTCCTGTCCTCAGGAGGTGCAACCTGTCCCATGCCAGAAGTCCATTGGCAGGAAAATGAGTGCAGTGGCCGACGAACCCAAAGCGTTCCTACTGGCACCGCACCCAAGCCAGTCGTTCCCCTTGGAGACCCTCCTGTCCCTGCCTGGCCAAAATCCCTGGACCGGTGAGATCAACGAGGAGGCCACTTGGGCTTCAGCTCCCGGAGTTCCTTCCCCGAGGCCTCGAAGTCCCTGGCGATCCTGACCACCCCCTGCATGGCCACGTCGTTTGTGCCACTTGGACCCCCAGGAGCGGCTGGTGACCCTGGAGCGAGCAAGGCGCTCCACCCTGTCCTTCACGTGCTGGATGCGTGTGCCCGCAGGCAGCACACCTCCCTTGTCTCCGGGTCGGGGAGGCAGAGTGCCGCCTCAGTGCCCTCTGCAGGGAGTCTCCAGCCCCATTCGCCCGCCGTGTGTCTTCCCGGTGCTGGTGGGCGGCCGTGCCCTGGCCGTCGCCTCACCTGCAGCAACTCCCTAGCCGCAAGTGGCCCCAGACAGGGGGTCCTGCTGGTCCACCAAGGCCTCCTCAGCCCCAGGCACCCCAAGCGCAGAGCGCCTGCTTCCCGGCTCTGGATTGGTGCCAGGAGGAGGAGGAGGCTGTGCTGGCCCCCCCGCCTGCAGGTGATGTGCCTCCGTGTCCCCCTGGCCGCTCCTCCTGTGGCCCCTCCTGCGACCCTCTGTACAGAGTGGGCTGCTCCCGGGGGGCCTGGAGGGCTCTCTTGGCCCTCAGGCCCCACCCCTCCTCTGGCAGGGCCCCCCACTTGCACCAAGGGCAAGGGCTGCCCTGCCTCTCCAGCACCCGTGACTCCCCAGGGCCATCTCCTGGCCTGCCAGTGGGATCCCTTCGGGATCTTAAAAAGTGGCCATATAAAAACCAGGTCAGGGCAAGTTTGACTCTGAGTTGTACAATCACAAGAAGCTCAGGGCAAATTGATCCCCCTGCCTCCCCTTTAGCGCTTCCACAAGGGAGAAGTGAAACGCACCCTGGAACATTGTCCCAGTGATGGGAAACGCTGCCCTCCTCTGCCCTCCCTTGCCATGGATTCCACAGAGAATACAAGCAACTCCTGCTCCCATTGAGAGTCGGTGCATAAGGCGAACTTACAATCTGTTCAAGGAGTTGCTTATTACCCTGTCCTGCACTGGACTAGCACATGATGGGAAAACCCAGGGTTGGTTTGCTGAGTCCATGGGGGGTTGGCTGCCTTCTTCCTTCCCCACGTCCCAAATGCATTTGTGGCACTACAGTGTTGTTGTTAGTTGCAAAGTCGTGTC